TCTCCCCTATAAATGTAAAATGTAGCTATAATGAAACACTAAACTTCTTAATAGTGGAACACTGGAGATGTTCAACCATAAACATGCAGCAAAACAGATTCCAGACCCTCGCTTTCCAACAGGTCTTAAATGTATCCTCCATTTTTCAGGTCAGTCTCAGGTGGTCGGTTCCCGTCAGCCAATCATTGCTGCTCCAGGTGATGATGTTATCCTGCCGTGTCACGTGGTGCCTCAGCTCAATGTGGCGGGACTGACGGTGGAGTGGTCGAGGCCGGACATTAAGCCTGACCCCAAAGACAGGCTGAGCCGGGTGGAGTATGTGCACCTGTACAGGGACACCCGCGAGGACACGGACATGAAGCTCTCTACGTACGTCAGGAGGACAAAGCTGTTCACAGACGGCTTGAGACAAGGAAACATATCGCTCAAGATCATGAACGTGACTCTTGAAGACAAAGGGAGATACAGATGTTTCATCCCCAAGTTAAAGAGCCCAGTAAAGTTTTCAATTGTTCATCTTGTTGTTGGTGAGTTCATCCGTTTGGATTGAGAAAATCAATTTTTATGATATCAATATTTTGTTAGAAAATAATATACATTAAAGATCAGTGTTTGTCAGCAACTTGTGTTCCTTATGCAAACTTCTATTGTCTGTATTATAAATCATTATGAATCAATTGTGTATTCTTCCAGAGCCAGATTATGGTAAAACCGGGACAACAGAGACGCCACTACAACCCACAATTCTCACAACTCCCGATCCAACGGATGTTAAAGGTGAGAATAATTATTCATTCCAGCTTTTCATCATTATCAGCAGCTTCACACTGCAAGTGTTCAACTAGTAAAACACAAGGTGGCTTTTATTGTGAAGGAGTAACAGTTAAGGATGCATCACTAAACTCAAAGTCTGATTGGTTACATGTTACAAATAATAGCCTTTAAACACTGAATCCTGCTGCGCCACAAACAGCCGTAAGGCTCAACTACGTTTAGTTACAACACTAGAGGAAACATAATGTGTTTGTTAACAGGACTGAAATCTTAAGGATTCTAACTTTAATCTCAATGTCAGTGACATTCATGTTGTGTGTTTATTTCAGTAGCTCTCATCATCTCTGTTTTCATTGTTCCCATCAGGTGGTTGGTCCAGGCGGAGCAGACTGGTCCCATTGGTGGTTGTCTGCATCATGGCAGTGGTCCTGATGGTCGGTGGAGTCGTGGTATATTTGATACAGAAAAGTCAAAAACAAGAAGTACGTCAGAGACTTTAATTCAAAGCTGGAAAGTAAAAGAAACAAAAGGAAAACTTCTATTTTGGGAGACAGTCGACTAACTAATTAATTTTCTTTGAATTGTCCCTCCAAGCTCATAAAAACCACTATAAGTTTAGGTGCCTTGCTCAAGGGCACAACGCTAGACGTTGCTTACAAAGATGAGAGAACTACCCGCCGCATCTGGATTCGTTGACTACACTAGTTCGCAGGGCTTCAAGACCAGCGACCCCCCTCCAGCCACAGGTGGAGACAGTGAGTCTGCAGAAGAGAGGATATATGTGTGGAATGAAACAAACTACCAGCAGGAAATCCTGTAAGTTGCTCCGTTTAGAACCCTAACCATTGACCATGTGACATCTGGAGAGTTCCAATGTTTGAACAAATGTTGATTTCATGTCATGAAAGTGAACGATGATAGTATTTAGTTTGAAGGCATCTTAATTTCCGTTTAATGAACTTTTTTATGCCATTTTGCACTGAAGCACTTTATTGACTGTATATTAAAAAGGGACTGCTCCCCAAAAGTGAAGCCAAAACATCTTGATTGACCCCCAGTTAGCCCTGACCTAAAAAAACTCAAATACACGTCAAATAAAGTAAGATCAAGTGTTTACTTTGTTATTTGATGCAATAAAAAGGGGGTTTTCACAGCGGGACTTGAATACCGCTGAGCCAGCCCAGCTGCACAGACTCGAAATGGCATCACCGGCAGAAGATGGTAGCAGCTGTAGCCGGGATATTTTGGCTTCATTTTGGTAGAGTGGGAGGAAGTGGAGACTTTGGACAACTTCAAACTAGTTGGACTTTTATCTCCAAATTGCTTTACATGTGGCTTATTTCTTTGATGCAAAGCAGCATTTCATCTCTATTTTTATTACTCTGCATTACAGGGGAAGTCATTTGAATACTTTGGGGCGGTTGCAACCTAAATACACACCACGTTATTTATATCATGAGGCAGTTTAAATGTACGTTGACCTGCCAGTGGTTATTTAAGCTGACGTTGTGTAGCAACAGAATCTAAAGCCATCTGCTCTCTTTTTCTTCATCTGCAGCTCGCCTGCAGCTCGTGGACACGGCAACATCATATGCTGGATTTTTTCCCCCTTCCTGAACAAGTTTTGTTTCGATATGGAAAAGGACACTCTGGATGAGAGCTTTTTAAAATGTTTTGAATGATGTTTGCATATAGGTCGTGTGAAAGAACCAAAATGGGTTCTTTCCAGTGGCTGACCCCAAACCAGCTGCCACTACCACACACATTTTCACATTCATTTTTCAGTTTTGGGGAATGCATCTGCATTTTGAGTTTTCTTTGCAAATTTAAGTGGGAGCTAATTTATTTTTACATTAAAAAGTGTTCTCTACTTTCTTAACAGCGACTGGCAAAGTGCCTTTGTGCAGGGCACCTATCTCTTTCTAAAAGAGTAACCAGTAGATTTATACTTTAATATTATTGTTGTTTTATTGTTGTTATAGGCTGTTTTCATTTAGAAATGTTCCAACAAAAGCTGGTCTTTTACTTTGATTAACCATTATTGTTCAATGTTTTGTCTTTTCTGATGTTGTGCTGGGCATCTTCATCATAGTTATGGCATGTATTTGATTATTCAGATGTTAAAACCTACCTGTTATGTCACGCTGTTCTTGCTATTGCTGTGTTTATGGTGTCTGTTCATTTCAGTTGTTTTTAGGATGTATCAGGCTCTCAGTTTTGTATGCTTTGTTACTTTGTTACTAATTTATTTGCCCGTCATATGAAGTGCTTTACATTTTTGTGAAAAAGTATTAATTTATTGAGAAGAAGACTTTCTTAAATGTTATTGGCTTTAAGAGTTCAATTGGATTAATGATTGCCACATTTTAAGTGGCACTGTTTATGGCACGAATAGTTCCCAAATAAAGCACATTCATGAATGAATGCAGTGTGTTTACATCATGTGTGCTGTGACTATCTCTGTCCATACATTCAGCCCAAATACAGCAATGAATTATGGTCCAGATCTGGTAGCCACATGTGGCCCATGACAGAGCCGTATGTCAGCCGACTGTACTCTATTCTGGACCAGACAATTTTCAGCACCCTTGTTTGCTTTTGGAAATGGTTTACAAGTGTTCAGGCCTATAGTGTTTACTGGCTGTATTTCCTCATTAAACTATAGAAATACAGAAATAAAACCTTCCTCTCACAGCTAACTGAGCTCTCAGGCCTTTTTCTACCAACATTGGCTCTATAATGAGTTTCTATATCAGCACTGCAGTATTTTTGTCTGCATGTTGCCATTATGACTTCACAGTGTGATTTCTAATAATAGAAATATGTAGTTATATAGAATCGGGGAAGCTCTCTGAGGAAACCAAAGGTAGGTGAGAATGAAGAAAGAGGTGTCAAAACAACTTCCTCCGTTGTTTCATAGAACAGCAGTGTTTTCCAAAGAGTTAGTGGAAACTCTTTGGTTTCCTCCTCCAGGTCGAATGGTCGTGGGGCGATTAGTCAGTTGAAGCTCAAGTATTTGAGAAACTTATTAAAAAAAAAAAGACTTGTTAGTTTTAAATCAAATGTCACCTTTTGGGAGTAGATTTCAAATGCCGATGCGTCGACCTTCATTATGCTATTTAATCATGTATCTGTACGAATGCTCTGCAGACATTTTATCAAAAAGCTTGTGTTTGGTTTTTATTGACATGTTGAGCCTCCCTCTGGTGTGCATGTAAGGATGGAAAAACCCATGCAGACTAAACAACACATGTATATTCTCACAAAAAAAGACACTGTTCAGAGGACATATGGGGGACTGTTCCTGTTGTGTTCTTCACACAGTAACTTCACAGTAACTTTTTACTTCACAGTAAAACAAAATATTCCAAACTTTCATGTCAAACAAGGACAAACCACATTCACTAAGTAATTTAACCAAAATTAAAATGAAAAACCAGCAACCAGGAAATAGCTCTGTAGCTCTTTATTTCCAAACCCTAAGCTTCCTTTTTCGGAAAAAATACAAAAATACAATTAAAAAAATCATCATCATTCAGCAACAAAGCCAAAAATACCAGATTAAAACAAAAGTTTGAGGAAGGAACGGACTGCTGCATCTACACACACAGCTGCTGCCATAGCAATTTAATCAGTAATGAATATGATCATAATTAAAGTTTTATGTTTAAAAACAACAAACAACAAACAAAGTTACACAGTACTTAAAAGAGTTAAAAATAATATATTTGTTTACTTTGTATACGAATAAAACATCATAATCAGATGTCCCCTCTCTCTCATCCTGCTGAGAGGGGTGGAAAGGTCAGAGGTCAACAGGGGATGCAGGGAAAAGCAGACTCGTAGACCAACAGGGTGAACGGATGCAGTGACAGAGAAAAGCCTGCTCTCTGAACAAATGAACTGTTATGCTGCTGAATAGATGTTTACTGTATTATCAGTAGATTTAGTAAAATAAAGACTGAAGGCAAAGAGTTTAGAGTATGGCACAACCAGCAGAGCTGCTGCTGTCAGTCCCAGTCCACAGTAGAGGCCGATCCTTCCCCAAGCCTCTGGTTGTGGACTCTCTGGTTGTGGACTCACTGTTGGTCTCTGAGGTTTGGGCTTATCAGCAGCTGCTGTAAGAGACATAAAAATGTGGATGATTGTCTGAAATAGAATACAAAATAACCACAGCTGATTGACAGGGAGAAAGAATTTCTGTCAAAAAAAAAAAACTAAGAAAAAAATCTGCAGTAACACAATGCTCGATAACGCTGGCATTTCTTTCTGTAAAAAAAGAAAGTTTGGTCAAGAAGGGTTGATGTAGCAGTAATTCCTTAAACAAAGTCAATTATATTTCTATAGATTCATTATTATTGTAGTTTATTAAAAAATGATGGACAGTATTAGCCACACTAGCAGCGTGGCTCTATGTCCAGACTGAGATATCTCAACAACTATTATAATGATCCAGATGAAGATCTGTACAGAATCCAAGGTGCCCAGAAAATGAATGCCACTGATTTTGGTCTGTCCCTTCCTGTTCCTTTGGCGCCACCATGTGGTTAACATTTGTGGTTTTGAATGAAATGTTAGATGGACTGCTATGAAATTTAGGACAGACATTCACGTCCTCATCGGGAGGAATTTCTCACTTTGGTGAACCTCCGACTTTTCTTTTTGTGCCATCATCACACCAAAATATTATTTTGTCCGATACTTTGGTGTATGAGCTGCAACTCAGCTATAACTTGTGTTGTGTTAAGCGTGTTAAACTAAGATTACAGCATTGGGTAGTAATAGCAAAGGAGTGTTTGTCATCAGTGCAGATCTGTGCTGTTACCACAAGCCTGAACAGCTCCGGGAGATTAGGCTTGTTCAAGATGAGCCAGGCCTGCGCAGAATTGATCACAGGGGAAGCACAACACATGATGGTTAGATTCGGGTCCAACTTGATTGCTCCTTTTTGTCACTTCCTCCTGCTGCTGCCGTTGGATCTTCTCGACTTTCCAGACTGCTTCCTGTCTGTGCCAGGGGCGGCACTTGAGGCACGTCATATAATGATGAGGGTTAGGGTTAGGGTTAGAGACTCACTTAGTTGTGTTGTCCTACTCAGTTCTACTGAACCAACTTACCAGTGACATTG